CTCCTCCCCTGCTTGTATGCCTGTGCTGCTTTAACCCGTAAACCAGGTTAACTAGGTCAACTAGGACAGCATAGTTAGTCAGGTTGAACAAAGACACGTGTCCATCAACTTCCACCAAAAACTAAAAAAAGAAAACCCCCAACAAATAACCCACCTTGCATTCCCGGGGATCTGAGCCCACAGCTGATCCATTTTGAGATGACTGAGTTCATTAACTAAAGTCAAATAGGCTGTTCACATTGCAAAATAATTTTCCCTTAGCTTAGTGAATGCGATATCAATTACTATTTGTAAAGCATTAAAAAAAATAAAATAAAAAAAAAAAATTAATTTGCTTGCACATGATTGGATGATGGAAGTCAGGAGAACTTCACCTCATTTACTAAGCTAAGGAAAATTCCTTGCAATGTGAAAATTCCCTTGCCACGTGAACAGTCAATTTGCCTTCAGTAAATGAATCCCAATAGATTTGCCTCCATCTACAAAAATCTATTATCCTTTTATACATAGTACCAAGGGTGTCCCTAGATGTCTAGCCACCTGAGGCTAGGTTGGGGGTGGTTGTCGTTATGCATATTCCATAGGGGAAGGGGGGTTATTTGCTCTTGCTCCATGTGTCGGGAAGAGAAGGGTTGGGTATCTCATGGTGCAGGTTTCGGGCAGTGGCTTGTGGTGCACAGCGTCCCACCCAGCTCACTGACATCACTGGCTGCCGGGAGCTGGGCGGGACATCAGCCAGTGCGTCCCACTCAGCTCCTGGTGACCAGTGACATCAGTGAGCTGGATGGGACGCCGGCCAGAGCATCACAGGTTGCTGAGATCTCTTAGTAACCTGGGGCTCTCTGGCAGGAAAGGGGTGCCCCCCCCACGTGACCCAATGAGATGCTGCCTAAGGCAACCGCCCCAAGCTGCCTCATTAGGACGGCCCTGCTTAGTACATAACTATGGCAGATGAATCACTGCCAATAATTTCTTGCTCATGATTATCTTTTTTTGCAGTGAAGTTGAACAGATGTGCTTTAAATGTAAAGTAAATATATACTAAATGCTACAAAAATTCCCCAAAAAATTAATCTATGCACAATTTACATTTACCAATTTCCTATGCAAAAGAAAAAAAAACATATTAAAACATAATTCATAATTCTACATCTCAATCAGCCATTTTTTGCAAAACAATATTCTATATAGCATCCTGTTTCCCGTAACTATAAAACATATATTAAATATTTGCTTATGAAAAGATACTACCTTCGGTTTTCAACATCACACTCACTCCACTTCCAGACGATTTCCGTATGAAAGGTCTCACAATAAAGTTCATTACATACGTCAATTATTCTAGATTTTTGTTTTTTAAAGCATTTAACTTTTTTAGCCTATTGTTAAATAAATACTTAAATTAATATTAAACGTGTTATTCAGAATGACCTAAAATAAATAACTGTATAAATAAACATGAAACATGAACGTTTTTTTGTTACCCGGGTTTGTAAAAATTAGTCTTTGTGAAAAACAAAAATGCTGCAGGCTATCTCTCAATTTTTTTTTGTTCATGTCTTTTACCTATTGCTGCATAAAGAAACAGCAAAAAAAAAAAAAATTATCTGTAAACAAGATCCAACATTTAACACAAAGACAACAAGAAACAAACTCTGTATAAATGATATTTCTTATATTAATCATGCTGTCCGTTCTTTTTTTTTTTACCTTTTTTTTTTTTTAAATCGGGTCAATGCGTTTGTTTTTTGAAAACCAATGTTTTTTGTTAAAGCAGAACAGTCTTCTGGTATTTTAATGCAACTAGTCTCAGCAGCCATTTTTTTATGGAATGCATTGAGATATTTGTATGTGTATCACAGAAGAAGCTGAAGGTTGGTCTAAAATCTAATCATTTTATCAACACGGGCTTCAAGCTCGGCTGGGACGACGAAACGTCAGTTCCATTCTTGCGTTGTGTTCCATGCCAACAGCTAATAAGAAAAACCTGAAGAAGATGATGTTGTTGGATGGGCCAAGACTTTGAGGAAGAAACTTGTACTTGTTGGTAAATTCCAGTAATGACAGAGGGATTGGCAAGTACTCGATGCCCAAACATTGCTGGTCCCACCAAAACCCATTCCAGTCTTGCTGTTATCCATTTCCAGGTCATGCATCCATTGTCTCCTTCACGTTGTACATTCATGAAATTTCACGGACCGCAAAAATGTAATTGCAATATAACAAATTTTGGAAAGAAAAAAAAGAATAGATCCAAAAATAAGGTAATTTTTGGAGTTCCCTCTAATGATTTAACTTTATTTCCTATATTATAATTTCTCCTTTGAAGCTATCCAGATGTAAGGACCAGACTGTTCTTCAATTACCAGTTTGCATGAGTTATATATGTCATCCAAAGTGTCTCCTTGGACGATTGCTGTAAGAGACAAAAAGTTTTTCGTTGCTTGTAAAATAAAACATCTTTGTTTCATGAGAACTGAAGTTTAAATGGGGGACACGGAGGATTGTGTAAGGGTACAAACTGGGCGATGTAATGTAAAGATGTAATGTGAATGCAATGTAAATAATAGGGATGGGGTGTCTTGTTTATTGGAACGTTAGAAAATCTTCTTTTATTGGCTGTAGATAAATCATGACTGAAGTGATCTAAATAAATCGACTCTGTTGATGGACAAAAAAATTTACAAAAAAAGCTTTCCCTGTAGAGAAAAAAAAATTAAATGACCGGAGATAAGCTTGCTGAAAACCTTATACATTAGACAATCCCAGGAGTGTTAGAAGCTTGGTCCCCCTCTGCGCTCTGTGGTTCAATCCGCCAGCCCCCCGTCACTACAGAACTCATCTGTGATGTAGAGGCAGGTGGACTGAACCACAATGTTCTGTGGGGAGGGGGTGGGGGGTGCAGGGATTCCACACAACCGGAGGATTCTGCAGCCACTGCAGCTCTTTTAGAAAGTGAAGCTCCCAGGACAACAGGATCAGGGACGTGCGGTCAGGGGAGGCGGAGCCTCAACTAGCATTATGGAGGAAAAAGCTGTCAGCTTCAAGTCTGAAGCTGACAGCTTTTTCTCCATTCAGGATCGGCTTCTAACAGGTTACACAGCGGGGAAATCCTCCCCGCTGTGTAACCTGGTATGGATGGAGCGCTGCCTGTTAATTACAGGCGGTGCTGCATCCAGCTTTTGACAGGCAGTTATTGAGGGACAGGGAGGCTCCTCCCTTCCTCCTTCACACTAGCTTGGGGACGAGTTGGGGACAGGGGGGGGGGGGGGGGGGTTCGTTCGTGGGGGGGGGGGGGGTGTGCTTCGTTCGATGGGGCAGGGTTTCGGCCGGCGGGGCTTTGACCGGCGGGACGGGGGAAATGCTCACCCGGAATATGAGGTACCGCACATCACTGACCAGGACAGTGGGGACGTGGATTATTAAATATTTTCTTTGCAGTGAGGATTTTGTAAAAGTTTTAATTCTAGCCATAAAGTAACTTAAAAAAATATGTAATTATTTTAAAGGTGAATACAAAGTTTTAACTGTACAAAAAAGCGAGAAGACATCAGTTGTGCATGGAGGAAAGGAGATATCACCTCCTGTATTGAGGCTTGGCTCACACTATTTTCCAGACCAGATCTGGAACATGGTGCATTTCATTTTTACTGCAATTTTACCACGAGTGTTGACGCATTCGGGAGAGGTTTTTTTTTTTAAAGCTTACAATGGGCCTAGGCATTCCTGTTCTGTATTCTCATAGCTGTATATCTGCGGTGGGAGATCTAAGGCGCTGTTGCCTCTGAATGCTGGTCTTTGGTGAAATTTGGTGATTTAATTAATGTTCTTCCCACTGTTCTCCTTGCTGGAGAGTAAGCTGTACCTGATGACATGCAGTGCAAAGATCTCCCTGCTTCTGACTCATCCATTATCTGAACCCCTCCTGCTGCTTGATTGTTCCCCGAGCAGTCATCAGGAGGCAGTTCTGACATGAGGAACCCAAACCCTGTCTCTACCAAGATGGCCGCCTCTACACTGGGGCACCGGGCAGAACAAGGTCAGTCAATAATAGGGAAAAGATCAGCTGCAGGGGGACCGCAAGCAACACTGGGGTCCAGTCTTTTGCTCTCTGACTGCCTGTTTCTGGGCTCAGCTTTCACAGTTCAGGTCCTTTTTTTTAGGTTTAAGCCTTTTCTAGGACAACCATCGAGCTTCTTTGTAGATTAAAGATCACATTTTGCATTTAGCTCTGTCTGGTAAAGTACATAAGAGGGATCACCATGAAGGCAACTGTCTATGGTGAAAGGAAGGCGAGTTGGTGCAGCTGGGGAGTGGAGCAGTAAGGTGAATCTGTTGCAGTAAGGTGAATCTGTTGCTATTCCCTGCATGGACAAGGCGATGGTTCACCTTACAGATAGAGTTCCACTTAACGGATACCTTAAAAGTCGTATGTATGCATGTGGGATAGGGAGCTTAAATTGTAAGCTCCTTGAGGGCAGGGACTGATGTGAATGTGCACTATGTAAAGCGCTGGGTAAAATTGTTGGTGCTATATAAATACTAATAGTAAATAAAGATGATAATACAAATATTTTTCTGCAATGTTTTAGGGGATATTATGACTATGTGTACATCAGAACAGTGAACATTATAAGGTATTATATTAAAAAAATCACCTGTAAAAAACTCGCCAAACTCCTGTTCTAATTTGAGCGCACGGTCGTAGGTTTTCTTGGCTTGCTCTTCTGTCAGACGTTTGCTGATTTCCCTAAAAAAAAAAAAAACAGTTATTTTTTTAAAAAGTATTTAGGGCCCATTCACTCTATAACACTGGGGTACCTGACATGCCAGAAGGCACCAAAAAAAGATACATGTGCCATTCTAGGTAGCAAATATCACCAGAACGCGCTCCCTTTAGCAAGGTAGGTTGAGGTGCCATTTAAAATGAATGGCACCACAATACACCAACGCATGCAACATTGCTTAACGGCGATGCAATAGTGTCAAGGAGGCGTTAAAGTTAAGCTATTTGTTAGCTATCAATCTATCTCTCTATCCATCTCTCTCTCTCTCTATATCTATCTCTCTCTCTATCTCTCTCTCCATCTATCTATCTATCTATCTATCTATCTATCTATCTATCTATCTATCTCTCTATCTCTCTATCTATCTCTCTATCCATCTCTCTCTCTCTCTCTCTCTCTATCTCTCTCTCTATCTCTCTCTCCTCTCTCTCCATCTATCTATCTATCTCTCTATCCATCTCTCTCTCTCTCTATCCTCTCTCTCTCTATCCATCCCCATCCATCTCTCTCTCTCTTCATCTATCTACTATCTATTGATTTATCTATCCTATCTATCTATCTCTCTATCCATCTCTCTCTCTCTCTCTCTATCTCTCTCTCTCTCTCTCTATCTCTCTCTCTCTCTCTCTCTC